GAGCCTGATGTGATGTATCTACCACCTCTGCTTGCTCTCATGCACAAGCCAAAAGGAAGACAGAGCCATCACGCTGAGGGTCTCGGAGAGGAGCCGAATCAGGCATTGTGGAGCTGCTGGAAGGTGTTTTTCGTGGTGCCAGCAGCTTTCTGCTGCCTTGGCAGCACCGATGGTTGCCTCTGGTGGACGTGAGCTTCAATGGTCTGACGTTGGCTGCTGTGGCCTCGTGCCTGAACTGTGGAGATGCGGAGGACAGGCCACTCTCTAAAAACTGCTCATGCTTGAATGTGGCAGATCTGGAGAACTGTGGACCTCCTGGCCTTGGGGACTGCTTGGATGGAGCTTTGAGGAGAAGGCAAAAGGGAGGACAGCTGAGAGGAGAAAAGGACCAGAGGAGAAAAGAGGGCTTTGGGGGTTTCATCTCCTTCTCAAGCAGCTACAGAAGAGAACTGAGAAGTCTTGGGCAAGAATTGCAGCACTGTGTTCATTCACTGCTTCCCCACAGCCCCGATGTTTCCCACCTGCTCATCCCCTGGCCCTTACAAATACCTTGGGAGCTCTTCAAATTCCCCTCTTCTGGTGGGATTTCCAGGAACATGTCAACTGAGCACTCTGTCGTCCTTTCCAGGGACTGGACAAAGGAGACAGGAAAGGAGCGACTGTTGGGTGAAAAACCTGATTTTCCCAGCTTGAGCATCCAGCAGCCCAGAGTGTGGCCAAGGGAAGGTTTGAGCTTGTGTTGGTGGGAGCTCTGGGACCGAAAGTTGCAATGTCACGGAGCTGGTTTTTTCGCTAGGAGAGCTTAGCGGCCGTGGTGCTGTTCTCCTCAACAGGAGAGATGTTTGCTTTGAGCGGTGGGGCTGTGGGTGGTGGCGGGGGGGTCTGTGCTACTCAGGAATAGCCTGACAGGTAGCTGAGCATTTTTGCCTTTCTGGGTTGCTACAGCGAGTTGCCAAGGGGCAGGGGTCTGAAGTTGAGCCCCACAAGAATGATGCAATTGAGCTAGTGTTTCTGCATCTTCAGTTCGCCCTTTTTCAACCTCTTAAGGGGTGTTTGAATATCAAGGTTTAAAACCGTTGCAAGCCCCAGTGCTTGTGATGTGACCTGTCTGCTTCGTAGGCAAAGATGCAAGTTGGGTTCAGGTTCTCGATCAGACTTTGAAGCCCGAGAGTCTGCTTTAGAAAAACTCTGCTCAGAAAACACATCTTTACTTGGCAGACCTGGGCAGGTACCTTTGTGCCAGTAGATACGTGTGGTGTTCCTGACCCTGCTGGTATTTGGTTTGCAGCACTGAAGGAGCAGGTTTTACCGTGCAGATGTGGTCATGAATTTCCCCTCCCTCTAGTTTTGTACATGCTATATGCTACGGCTGCCTCCTGAGTGGATGTTTTCTTCCCCACAACTGGGTGCTTTGGAAGTGTGCAGTGTCCATGCAGTTTGCAAAGGGAAAGCTATACGTGCAAAACGTTCCCATCAGCTGCAGGTCGCAGCACCCAGGTGTTTTTAATAGCACTCAGCCATGTCTTACAGCGAGTGTGTAAGCTGATTGCTCCAATAAGTTTATTTTCAGTTTGCACTTTATTCTTTCCCCTTGGCTGGGTCAAAAGAGGATAGGGTGTCTATGACAGAGGAGTGAATTAAACCCTGGGGAGGCAATGCCTGTCCTCTATGGCCCTCTGCTCCTCGCCAAGGGCATGTTTCTGCCTGCCCCGGCAGTCCTGCTCAGCTGTACCCCTTGGCTGGGTATAAACCCTCGCTGCAAGCAGGGCTGGGGCTTTGCTGGGGGGGTTCGGTTAGCTGCTGTCTGGCTGAGGGGTTCAGCTGCAATTTCTGCTCTAGGTTTCGATTTCTGCTCTGGGTTTCTTGCTTTCACTTTAGACTTGAGGGCAGTGAAATGTGGTCTTCAGCATCCTGGGGGTGAAGTCTTTTCCCTGCTGTTGTCAGTGGTGGTGTGAGTGCATCAGGGCTTGCAGAACTTAGGGAAATTTTCAAATTTGTTTTGTAAAATCTTCTTACTTTATTTCTGACTGCCTGAAAGCGCTCTAAAAACAGTCCCGATGGGTCCCCTCCGGAAGCGGCGTGCAGGGTGTTATCTGTCCTTTCCACTCTGCTTCCGTTTCTTCCCCCTCCTGAAGAACAAAGATATAAACATGGAGCTGAAGAGATGCAGGGGAAAAAATGGAATAACCGACTTGCTGCCCAGGGGAAACCACAAATAACAGCCTAGGAGTAAACAGTGCTGACAGCCCCGCAGTACAACTCACAAGGCCCAGACCTCCCTCTGGGAAACTCGCTTTATTTTTAAAAGCCTATAGGTAGGACGCAGCACTAATAGCAAAGGAGTTAAAAGCGTGTGGAGTTGAGGAGGCAGTGATCCTATCTGCAGTTATAGTGGTGTTTTCAAGTGAATTAAAGGCAATTAGCTAGCCTAACACAGCTGAAGTCTGTGGGCTGCTGGGCTTAGACTTAATGGGAGCACAGTGGCATGCACTTGTGGATCTGAGTCACGGGCTGGGGATCCTTCCCCTGGTTTTCAGAAAGGAAGCTGATAAAAGTCAGCGAAGGGTTGGATGTGAGCAGGCCCAGAGCTCTGGTCTGGGGGATCATCTCTTGATTTCTCCATTTGCAAGCCCGTGCTGCTCCCTGGCTGCAGCAGAGCGGCACGGGGGGCTGCCGGGACCCTCCGGCCACGGTGGGCTTTCCTCTCTCTCCCAGTGCCTGCCTTTATATTCCTCTGGCATGGCTCTTTATTACAATGGGATTTTGCAAAGCTCGTATAAATCATTTGCATTCAGAGCAAAAAAGAGGCACGGGGAGGCGGATGCAATTAAAAGAGCAGCTTGGCTCAGCTTTCCATCTAGACAGCCTTCTCCTAAAATAAAAATAACCAGCAGTTGGAGCATCCACCTCTGAGCAGAAAGGACCAGATCCCACGGCCTTTGAAATCACAAAAGATTTGGTGTCGTGGGTCCTGGACCAAACTGCAGGGCTTGGGGCCCTGCAGGCTTTGGCTCTGCTGGTACACGGAGCTGCACCCAGCTGTAGGGCTTGGGACAGGGTGAGCTCAGCTCCCCAGACCTGGGATGGGAGCCCTTGCTGTGCCAAAGCGTGGAAGGAGATTCAAATTCAGTGGCTGGACACCCTCTAACCATACTTTCCCGTCCCCATCTGAGCAATGATTTATGACTTGGTTTTTAGCAAGGCTTGAGCTGCCTCATCCCCTCCGTTGCCTGCTGGCTTAGCATGGTCAGAGCTGAAGGGTCGGGGGGGTTGAGGCAGGGGCGGTTCCCTGCCTGGCCAGCTGAGATAGATGAAAAAAATATGGGATATTTTGTGGGTACATCAGTGTGAAAGCCACACCGGGATTTCCTGGACGTGACAGCAGTGATAGCTGCTCCTTCCTAAGCAGCGGCAGCAACCGGTGCACGAGGAGGTAAACCTGGCGGCATTGGAACGAGTGAAGTGCAGCAGCTTTTTAGCAGGGCCCGTTAATGCTGCAGAGGGGTTTGGTGCGGGAAGCATGAAAAGGAGGGGAAGGAAAAAAGGTGCCTGCAACAATCAGAGGCCTCTCTGGGTGGTGTCAGTCTGCTTTGGTGAGCAGGGCCTGGATTTACTCCATGGCATGAACGTCAGGAGGCAAGATGCAAAGACAAGGGGTGGAACTGATGGTCCGGAGCCAAGCGCGCCAGCCGTTAGCAGACTGCCCAGGGTGGTCCCCGCAGACGTGGATCTGCTGGAAGGGCTCAGGCGTGGATCGTCATTGCCGTCCCGGCTGAAGGCTGTACCTCGCGCTCCGGTTCAAATTCAGCTCTGCTCTCCGTGAGGGCAGCTTGCGAGGGTTTGGTGGGAAGTGTGATTGCTTCTCTGGGACCAGTCACTGCCCTGGGCAGTCCCAAATGGCCTCATTTGCTCCACCAAGTACTGAAGGTTGCTGAGCTGAACAGCTTTATTTGGAAGTTTTCCTGTGTTGCAGCTATTTGCTGCAGAAAGCCATTTCTTGCAGCGTGCAGCTGGGGGAGTAAAACTGCAGCAAGAACACGGGACCAGGACTGAGACTTCTGTGCTGCCTAGTTCTCCCCTGTCTGAGGATCCAGCCCAAAGCATGATTTTTCTGCCTTTCACTGGGTGGTTTGTGCCTTAGTTTACCCGTACCGAGTCCTGCCTGGCTTTCGTGGTGAATTAATCGATGTTGCATCCTTAAAGATTGCTCAAGGAAGGCTGCAAATACTTATTTTGATCTCAGACTTTATAAGGGAAGGGAAAGGCAGAGGTATTTGAGCACAGCCCCATCCCAGTGCTGTGTGGCACTGCCTCCTCCTGTCAAGCTGCGGTATCTCATGGGACGGAGCAGCATTTTGCTTGTTTATTTATATTTTTTTTATGCGGCGAGTTACGCACCCACGAAGCCTGGAAATAGCTGGGCAGTGACTCACACAGGGGCTGGTTTAACTGGTCTGCTCCCGCAGGCAGCTGCGTTTTGCAGCTGGGGAAGGCTCCTTCTGAAAGGTTGGACTCCGTGAGGGCAGAGGGTGTTTTTGCTGGCTGTGTATTTATTTTACCTCTGAGCTTGGCCGGCTCGGTGTCTCACGGCTTGCTGCACATGGCTTTTGTGTTCCTAGTACAGCCGAGCTCCCAGGGCCTGACACGAAGCTGGGGGAGAGGCTTTGTCTTGATGTCTGCAGGCTTCAGATCAGGGCTAATATCTCTGCTTAGGTTTTATTACAAATGCTCCCTGAGAAATTGCGTGGCCCTGTGGTTCGTTTTACCCCAGCACTCTGGTCCATGCACATGGCTACCCCAGGCAGCATCGTGCCCGTGCTGAGGACCTCGCCAGCTGGTGCAGCACTGGACATGGCCACATCCCTCGGCTGTTAAGAAAATCAATGGGAACGAGGGGTGGGATGGTGGTGCAGGGGGTGATGCCGAGGCCACGGGCTGTGGTGGGGGCTTGCTATCTATGGTGCCGGCACTGAAGTTTCCGTCTGTCTGTCCTTCCCCAGAATGGCTGCAGTCTGTCCAAGCAATGATGATCCTCTCCATCATCTTCAGCGTCTTGTCCCTGTTCCTGTTCTTTTGCCAGCTGTTCACGCTCACCAAGGGCGGGCGGTTTTACGTTACTGGAATCTTCCAAATCCTTGCCGGTAAGTGGGGGCTGATCGATGGGGCTGACGCTGGATGGAAAGGGCTTTCAAGCAGAGGGGAGGGTAATGGTGGAAACGAGCACACTCTTGGGTACCAAAGCAGGCAGGCTACTGGTCTGGCTCCAGCATGGCTCAGTGAAGGGAAAGGGGGATGGATAATCTGGGTCTGTTGAGGTCTCGCATGCCCTGGGATGGGGTCTGGCTGTCAGGGCAGGTGATCACAGAGTCACAGAATGTTCGGGGTTGGAAGAGACCTCTGTGGGTCATCTAGTCCAACCCCCCTGCTGAAGCAGGGTCACCTAGACCCTAGGCTGCACAGGACCTTGTCCAGGTGGGTCTTGAATATCTCCAGAGAAGGAGACTCCACAAGCTCCCTGGGCAGCCTCGGCCAGGGCTCCGTCACCCTCAGAGGGAAGAAGTTCTTCTTCATGTTCAGCTGGAACTTCCTCTGCTTCAGTTTGTGCCCGTTGCCCCTTGTCCTGTCGCTGGGCACCACTGGAAAGAGTCTGCCTGCCCTTCCTGCAGCTCGGGGTGGGACGGTGTTGGCTCGGGGTGGCTGCGCTGGCTCTGGCACCCACCTCCGCCGGGCTGGGCGAGGTTTCCGCAACTGCTGTCAGGGTGGGGGAAGTAATGACGATCCCCTTTTGGCGAAAAAGGACCTGATGATTATTTATAAACTTGCCATGAGGGGGCCTGGTGCTTTCCACATCAGCAAAGAGCCGCTGGAGCGTGCAGGGTGAGCCAGCTGACTTTGAACTGTCAGCTACTATTTTTAACTCTTCAAGAACTCAGCGCTGGAAATGAGCCACGGTTCGTGTCGTACATTGCGGTTGTCAAGATACAGATGCTGTAAAGCCACTGGCTCCATTTGTGTTTCCACGTGTGAAACCAGTGGAGAGGATTGTCAAGCATTCAGACTAGAAAAATTAAATTGTGCAACGAGGTTCTGGCTAAATTATGACAGACTGTCTGGGAAGGAGACTAATCATTTGCTAGAGCTTTAGATGTTAAACTAGAAGCCACCCTGGGTCTTGCCACTAAATCAGTGGAAAAAACTTGTCCACGGAACTTTAGGCAAAGTTTCTGAGCACCCTCAGAGCAAATGGCCTTTGCAAACCCTGGAAAAGTTTAGAGCTAACCTTTATTAGCAAGTGTGGCATGAAATCTATAAGAAGTGCATCTGCTTGGCCATAATGCAGGTGATGAGTTGAGATCAGTTCACCGTCTCTGGAAAGACAGATTTGTAGAAACCCATTACAGCCATAGAGACAAGGAGGGGAAATGGGCATTAATAATGCAATTATCTGCCTGAGAGCTTGTCTAATAGATCTGGGAGCAGAAGGCTTCTCTCTCCTGAGGGACTGCTGGTGATTCCACATTCTCAGAGGAGGAGAAAATGGCATTACAACCCTCCCGCCCGTGCTGTGCTGGGTGTCCTAAGGAGATGCAGGGTCAGCGCATAGACCTGCTGGCTCTTTTCTCGCTAGGTCGAATCACTCCTCAGCCCAGTGCAAAGGACACAAAAAGTGTGAGCTGGTCCTCATGAAGGTTGCCCATGGCCTGGGGAGCTCGTAGGCAGAGGTCTGGGTCCGGATGGACCACGCAGAGGTGGGCACTGATGGCCATCCTTGCTGTGCTCCCCAGTCAGGGCTGGAGGAGGCGGCTCAGGGCAGCTGTGCTCTTTGTGACCCTAAATTTCAGGCTTGTTGCTAGGAAGCAGGACATAGCCATGCCAGCACTGCCAGGAGATCCCACCTGGAGGTATGGACAGTGCTGGTCAAAGGAGCTGAGCCTGACATGGTCTTCTTGCAGCTTGCTGTGAAAGGCCACCGCTGTCTGAAGCCTGTGGAGGAAATTCCTGTGACCTTTGGGCTTTGCAGGTGTTCATCCACGCCTCGCAAAGCCCTGGCACCACAGAGCCCTGCTGCAGGTCTGCCATGGATGGAGTCTTACCCGCTTGAGTGCTTTGTCCTCAGCTCCGGCAGAGCTGGAGAGGACCTCCCTCTTTCTGCGAGGGGATGAGAAGGCTCTTCCTGAATCCCTCCATCACCCTGCACCTCCTCCTGGGGTGATGCAGCTTGGCAAAGCCAAGGGTCTCCAGCGTTGGAGCCTGACTGGCAGCACTGCTGGACCAAACCAGTGGGTGCCACGGGCAGGACTGCTGGGTGCTGTTGGGTGGCAGAGCTGGGCAGCGGTGCCCTGAGAGCAGGGAAGGAAGAGTGGGGAGTGGAGGTAAGGGCTAGAAGAGATGCACGTGGTCAGTTGGGTCTGTTGTGCAGGGGCAGGGTAGGATGCATGCCCAGCACCTTCTCCACACTGCTTGGAAACATGCCCTGAAGCCTAGCTGAATTTGGCCTGATGAGATTTCGGCTATCGTAGAGGCACCTAAAGGCCCTCAGCAGCTCTCCTCCATCCTTGGTGGGTCCATCACATTCATGGTGTATCATCTAAAGTAACTTCTGACAGCTGTGCAAGCCCACAAGCTCCTCTTGGAGCTTGACCCAATTTTCACTCTCTCCAGCCTCAGCATCGCTTTTATCCCTTTTCTCTCATCCCTCCCACCCTAGAGCTGCTGTCCCTGTGCCATGGAGGGGGTAGGCTGTCTGGAGGGCTGTGCCTTCCACGCGTCCCGCAGCTTTTTGGAAAGGCCTGCATTGAAGAGCTGACCATGAGCATGCACCAGCACCCATCCCAGCTTGTCTGCAGGGCTGGGCCAGAATGCACAGACCTGCAGGAACAGCTTTTAGGTAGCATTTGCCCTCCTGGCCTGCCAAAGCAAAACTCAAGTGTGTTCTTAAAGTCAGGCCCTAAAGTGCTGATGCATCGGTGCAAGCAGCTGAATGCCACTGTCCTGCACTTCCCGAGCCTTTTCTGCGGGCCAAAATCAGTGCAGATGCTGCAGAAACCATCGCCTCCATTTTGCCAAATTCCTCGTGCGGACAATCGTTGTTGTATTTTCTGCGGTCTGTAGGTGACTGGCGTGGCCGCACGCCTGTTCTGGGTCCCACCAGTGTCGGCAGGCAATTGTTGTGCTCTCTTTGCATGGGCCGGGGCAGTGGGAGTTGGCTCTCGTGCTCAGAGAATGGAAACTGCACCAGCGGCGCATTAGTGAAACGTATTCCCACTTCTGCACTTTCCCAGAACAAAGGAGCAGTGTCAAGTGGAATTACAGCTCAAATATCACGGTGGTTAAATGTAGGTGGTCCCGAGGTCCGTGCAGGGGATTTGGAACTCGGCTCCGACAACAGCCCCACGACTGTATAATAGAACTGCTGGAATTGACTGAAAGAGCTTGTTTTCAGGCAGAAATAGAGGTGGCTTTGTGTTAGCTCTGGGCAGTCCCCAACGCTGATGGGTTGTTTTTTGCAACAAAGCTAAAAAGCTGCCTACCGGAGCTGGGCCTGGCTGGGCAGCCCTCGGGGACCGCGCTGTCCCGTGGCTGGGGGGGCCGGGGGGGGGGGACGAGGCAGAATCTTCTGTGGTTTAAAAAAAATGAGGTTTGTGTCTGATCTCTTGCAGCAGCTCTGGCAGGGTGGTTCAGGCTACAGTCTGGGTTTTAAATAAGCTACCAAGGGAGTGGGACTGGTCCAGAGCAGCAACGCGGAGCTGGGGGATGCCCGATGCTTGCCTGAGGGATGGGTTAGCCCAGGTGATGCTCTGGCTTTGCTTGCTCAGAGCCTGGCAGAGATACCCCCTGCAGCCAGGGCAGAGCCCACAGCATCGCACCTCCCCAGATCATACCGTAGTTTTCCAGGAGGCAGGATGCAAGGGGGCAATAATAAAAACACTTTCCCGTGCTGCCGTTGGTATTATCCTCTCCGGCTCTGGGTTTCCAGGAGGGAACTGTTCCGTGCGTGGCATCGCTAACCCCTTCCCATGTGCGCTTCCCCGGCAGGGCTCTGCGTGATGAGCGGCGCGGCCATCTTCACCGTGAGGCACACGGACTGGCACCAAGCCTCGGAAAACACCTCCTACGGCTTCGCCTATATCCTGGCGTGGCTGGCCTTCCCCCTGGCCCTCGCCAGCGGCATCATCTACGTTATCCTACGGAAACGCGAGTGATGCCGCGGGAGGCGGGGTGGCGG